ACGTTTACCGATCCACCGCTGAGCTCCGGCCATTGAACTCCCGATCCAACACCTCTCGAGCAATTGTCGAATAATGTGCAGGACAACCATCTTGCTGGTACCGCATGTTTTGGAGCCGTGCTAGTGGTACATCCTCCAAAAGGTCCGTCAGATCGTTTTCTAGAAAATTCCGGTACTTTTCGCCATTTAATGCACCGTCAATAAAGAAGGGTCCGATTAATCGTTCGCTTAAGGTACCGCACCAAACGTTTACCGACCAGGGACGCTGGTGCTCCACTTGGTGTCGAAATGGAAGGACGACATTTTGAACATTTGTTATAAATTGTTTTCAGAGCCGACTTTTGTTGATTTAATGTTAATTTTTGTTTTTCAAACGTTTCAAATAATACATTTTACAAGGAAACCCCTTTTTCTTAAATTTTGAATTACAGCGCCATCTGTTGATGAATTAAAAAAAAGTTTTAAATAAAAGTTATTTATTTTTTTATGTACTACCAAAATCTGTGAAAAAAATCGGGTCATTCCTTTTGACTTTCTAAAGTTACCACCCGTTTCACACTTAAGGAGGGGTAGGGGGTGGCTAGCGGTAGCACCAAATAATGTCCCCTTTGGTCACATTAACCTTTTATTTAAGACATTTTTCCGTAAAATGCATATTTCTCGAGATATTGAGCTGTCTCAAGTTAAAAGAAACACCCTGTATGCAATTTATTTTCTCATTCAGATTAAAACCGGTAAAAACTCAACCCAGGATTTCCTCTCGAAATACACCCAACAACACAACAAATCGAGCCACGTTTTTTTTTCGATATTTTTTAACATTTTCCGGTTTTATTCTAAAAAACACTCGTTTGTAACATAAGCGTTTGACGGCTTATTATTAAAAGTTGTACTTTTGTTACGATGATAACAGCCGAGTGGTGGCGCTACTAGCGATACTTCTTTACCGTATTGTACACTTGAAAAAAAAAGGTTTTATGAAGTATTTCTATATCTATACTATAGAAATACTTCATATTAATATCTTCTAGTTTAAAAGTCAAATTATTCTTAAAGTCCGTACAGAAATAAGGTAAAATGTCATTATGTCAGTAGAACCCAACCCAAAAATGATGTAACAGAATCTTGAGAAATTAATTAATTAAATTGAAATAAAAAGTTTATAAAACACGGCGGCGAAAACGTATTAAATGCGTGGCACACAATCTACTGCCTCGGCTATCGCCTTGACAATAAAGTGTATGCTCGGCGATAATATTTGCTTTCTTCGCCCAGTCTATAATCCACTATTTTTAAAAATAACGTATCTGCTTGGAAACGTTTTTTAAACCAGTGTTTTGTAGATACAGAAAATGTGACTTTAATAACTTTATTAATATTGATAATTAATTTTTTTTTTTCATAAGTAGGTAGTTGAATTTGTCTTTTAGTAATGAATTTAATGACAACTGTAAAATAAAAGCCTTAAGTTAAAAAATAAATTATAAAACTACTAATCATAAAAACTCTGTATTGATGTAAAGTTAAAATAATTGGAAAAAAACTGCAATTTGCAAATTAATTTCATTGTTTCGCATTTTCATTATGAGCCAATTTAGAGCATGTTTGCTAAGTAAGTACGTCATCAGCCGCCCTTAATTCGATTCCTTTAATGACTTTATCGTCTTGGTAGAAGTAAACTTCGCCATACTAATTATCTGACCTGTTTTTAACAATATTTCATGAAGGAGACACCGCCGTATCCTTAATAAATATTTAATGTCATTATTGTTTTTTGGGTGTTTTACATAATGGGTCTGGGGTTTAAAATTATGACAAAATAAATTTTAATCCTATTATTTTGTGTATTAACTTTAATACACAGGATGTTTTCGAAAACAGAGTTTACCTATACTTTTACATGTCAAATCAACTTCAAGTCGCTGTGGATGCGTTGTTTCTTTTCCTAATAACCGTTTCTTAATCGACTTAGAAAATAGACAATATTATTTTTTAAACTTTAATCCTGAATTACTCGAAAAGTTTTTTTTTGTATTTTTTATACTTAAAATAAGTTCCCCTACAATGTCGTATGCCATTGGTGCGTCATTTTTCGGACACCCTATATAAGTATTATTCCATATATTTTTTGAAAATTAAAAACCACTTGTTAAAGGTAAAACCAAATTTCTAAACAAATTTTGATTATCTTTCCAATTATGTATAACAAGGGTTTAGGCTGCAAAATAGTGGCCCACGACAGTCTTGTTGGTCTCGTCTCGTTTTCGAGACGTGACTCGAAACAAGACAAGACTTTTATTGGTCTCGTCTCGAGACGCGTTCAAGACGTCTCGCGTCTTGTGCGAGAGTCTCGCAGGTGAATATTTCTGCGTGCGACCTTGAAAACCTATAAATCATTATGTAAAAACCAAAACTGGCTTTTAAAAGAAGAGCCGCTTTTTTAAAGGTAAGGTAACGATCAATATTACGCGTCTTCGGGTAAATAAACTATTAAAACATGATCCCAAATTGTTTTTAATATTTCCAATGATCGTCTAGTGAAATACTACTTTTCGGTATCAGTTGCCGAAAAGATTTTACAACAGTTATATATAATAATATTTAGTAGAGATGGGAAAATTCCCATTTGACGAAAATTCCCGGAAACTTTCCATCGAAAATTCCCGAAAGTTTTAAAAAAAAATTTTTATTGCGAAAATATTTTTTTATGCCAGGGATTTGCAAAAATATATACTTAACACATTAACTTTTTGTCAAATTTTTGGTTGCATTAACGACATAGATTTTCTTACAGAATTTGCTTGAGAGCATGGTCTTTTTTGTTTTTTTGCACTATTTTGTAATAATTCCAAACACTAGATTTTTCTCTTGGCATTGTGCTATGCCTATAAATAAGCAACAAAAATGTAAGAATGATTTTAAATTTGTTTATTTTTTTAAAAAAGTTTTTTGTGTTGATGCTGAATAATCCGGCTTCATTGAGGTTATGTAACATAACTTACATTGTTTATACTTCTTCTTCTGCTTTAAATTAACACAAATTAAATTCTTATTCAAAGGTTCTTGGCCTTGTATCATGGCCTTGACGAAAATCAGAGGTTAAACAATTGACATTTAAATGAAAAAAACAAGGAAAGTTTCCAAGGAATGTTTCCGGTAGCTTAAAAGAAACTTTCAAAATGAAAATAAATTCCCAATTGGAAAGTTTCCAAAACGGAAAGTTCCTTTAAATGGAAACTTTCCTATTCCCATCTCTAATATTTAGTAATCAAACATTTTCATATATAGGTATATATCACGGCGCCCATTATTCACAAAGAAAACGCCAAATATTAATCCCAGTGGCGGTCTGTGACATTTTGTTTTGGTGAGGCAGGGACAAGGGCGTCCTATAAAATTAGTGCAATTTATTAAATATTTTATATTCTATGTAATTCAAATATTGATTTTTACATTAAAATTATTAACTTATCCTTAATTCTCTATGGGGTGGTACTGCCTGACCTGACAGACCACCAATTTGGTCCATATTTACTTTGGTCCATATTTACTTTCTATGGTCATTCATATTAGATAAACTTTTAAACAAACACGGTTAACAGAATAAATCATTATATATAACTATGGCTTTTAATAACCCTGAACTGGTGACGTGCCGTCAATTTAACTGTACTGGTCTGGAATAACAAGATAATAAATGACAAGATTTCGATACTTTTGCAAGACTGAAGGCTGTGAGATGAGACTCGATACAAGACATCTTATTTCACGCATGCATTGTTGTAACAATGTAAAAGGTACTGAATTAATAAGTGGAAATTCAAAAATTAATATATATGGAAATACCACGTTGCTATCACAATGGTTTGTTTGTAGCGTAAACCAGTCAGTTGTTGTTTTTGCACAAAACTTGTTAAAATGGTTTTTTTAGTCAAACCCTAGACCAAACGACGTCAAATTTATCAATAAATTTGTATTGATTTTTTGGAAAGTAACGATAATTGGATAACGCTTATCGAAAAGGAACCAAGCGCCAAAAACTTTTTCTGGGTTTGCAAAAATTATTTGTAAAATAACTCATTTTTGAAAATGCTCAAAAGGTTTATATTATCATCATTTTTAACTTATCTCAAAAGGATTGAAAGTGTTTCCAAATCATTATTAATTTTTTGAGCAGCATTAAGTTATTTTGCAAATAATTTTGTTTACTTCAGAAAAGTTTTTGGCGCTTGGTTCCTTTTCGATAAACGCTTTCCAATTGTATAAATCTGTAGATAATAACGAAACAAAAAATACTTTAAATCATTTTTTGAAATTCCGCACCGTTTTTATTATTTTTAGTACAATTTTGTTCTTTTCGGAACACGCAAATTATAAGGCAGAGTAAATTTTATAAAATTTTCACTGCAATGATAGGCCTAGAAATATTCATCGTGAAGAGAAATAAGTCAAAATGGTCAAAAAGATCTTAAGAATCTTTCAAATGCTATTGGCTTTAAGGCATTTAAAAGTATCATTAATAAAACAAACCTAAAATTTAAAAATAAAACGTTACGAACATTAAATTTTAAGAACATTTAAACATTTTATCTTGTACTCGTAGTACTAGTAAAGTTAAAGGAATATTTTGTAATTAAAAAATTAATGTATCTAATCGTGGAAGCCAAATTGGCGCTTAAAGTAACTAAGATATATTGCCACCAAGAATTAAATTTTATTTATATTAAGCTCCTTCGCAAGATTAATTCACTCACAAAGTTTATTTTAGGTAGATCTATTTTCACAAGTTTTAATTTTATGATGTGTTAATTTTCTCCATTTATCTAAAGACAATAAATAAGGATTAAATTTAATATTTCTGACTACTAAGTATATCTAAGAGTGGGAAAGTTTTAAACATTTTCTTATGCAAATACTTACATAACTTTATAGTAATAGACGTCTTACAACTTTTCTGTATCTAAATCAATACTAAATATAATAATAATAATATTTGTTTCAGATTCAAAATGGCAAACGACTTTGTGGAACAATTGAAAAACAAACAGGAACTCGACTATTTTAATCAGGAAGTTTTATGCAAAAAACTGTATGGGCCCAACGTCATAAATGATCAAAGACCATCAATGTACAACGAAACATTAAAAAGTAAGTTGAACTGGCTGGGCTTTTATTTATTCGTTTTTAATTTTTACTTTTTTTATTAAATGAAGGAAAGGTTTTGGCCTTTCATGCCGTAGTATTTTTAATCACCTTTCGACTGGTAAGTATATCCAGTCGTCTTTAGATAAATACTAAATAATATTGCCGATATAAGACCGGCCACACTCAAAGTTCATTAATAATTCACTCGCTATAATTGCAATGCGAATGCATACGAGGTGTGCAGAAAATAACGGGAATTTTTCAAATTTGGGTTTGGAAAGTCCGGTTGTCATAAAATTGTCTTAATTATCTTGGTATACACACCCCTGAAGAATGATAAACATTTTAAATGTTTTCATTGTTTACTTTGTCTGTGGCAGCCGCTAAGGTTAAATGTGTTTTTATGAGCTCGGCGATTTTCACACGTATTCAATAGGTTTTTTTTACAAATTCGCTTTTTAAGTTAACATTTCTGTACATGTGTTTATTGAAACTTTTTTTATAGTTTTGTTTTATAATGAAACTTCTATTCGACACTATTTTTGTTTTTTCAATTCGAAGTTTGGCAAATTGGCATGATGATTTTTAACAGTTTTTAGTAATATAATTTGTCCCCTTCTATGGCATAATTAAATAACTCTCCACAATTTACAGGTGGTAAATAGTTTTTCTATAAAGACAATAGATGGCTAAAGCCAACTTTGACAACCGTTGGAATCACACAATCATATATTAGCAAAAGATTTGCTTTAAATTTTACAAGTAAGGTTTTCCTTTTCTTTATTCATACGGGCAATTGTTTGCAAGAGTTTGTGTTATTATTTTTATTATGTATTTTATATTAAGAGATACATACCTGTATGTGTTTTATTTTTATTGATAGGACCTGAATAAATGTTATGTTTAATCGTGTTGTTTTTATTTCAAATCGGTTTAGGCGGTTGAAACCTATTTTAGGCACTTTCGGCCTAAAACGTACTAAAATGTACGTTTTTATTGCCTATTTATGTGTTCTAATTTCCAATTTTTAAGGGCCTAAAATAGAAGTGCAGCTTTCTTAGATCTTAAAAGAAAGCCGCACTCGCGTGTTTTTGGACCTTAAGATGAAACATTTTTCCAAGCAATTCCTAATCAATATTGTGAAGAAAAATTTTTAATTTTTTTTGTTTTTTTTTTTGTTTTTTATTTTCTGCGTAGGAACTTGCATTATTTTTTTTTAAATAAACCTCCATATGGATCGGATAGGTTGTTTATCCAATGGATCATTTTTCCTTTGATCATCGATACTTTTTCTTCACGATATTCATTATAATGAATCCTATAGGATTGCGCGATACTTGTTGCTTGGAAAAATTTTTCGCCTTAAGGCCCAAAAATTAGGGCCTTCAAATTGATTTTTTTTAAACTTCGATACGGCCATTTTTAACAAAAATACAGTCATTTGAAAAATCGCTAAAAATTTGGAATACATTTCTGATCGTTTAATTTTTTCCACTAATTAGAGGGCGGCCGTTTCAAGTTTGCCCGGAGCGGCCAAAACCTTAGAGACGGCCCTGGTCTTTATTAATCAATGATCAAAGAAACGTATAATAAAATATCGTCAAAAGTTAAATGAAGATCAAGACCAATACGTTGAGCATCTTGAGGCAGACCGTAATCGAAAAAGAGAATCTTACGAGAATAAAATATTTAAGATGTATAAAAAAGAAGGTGACGAAAACATAGAAAAAAATAAACTTTTGAAAAGAAAGAAAAGGTAAATTACTACATTACTCAAATATTGGTAATGTAGTATGGCTTACTTTACAGAGAAAACAAAAAGGTGCAAAATCTGACTCCATGTGGAAAGGTTGACAAAATTGGCACAAATGTATCGCCTAGCGAAGCCGTGAAAAAAGTTTCACTTCTTCGCCAGAAAGTCCGAATAAGAGAAAAGTCGTGCGAGAAATCGTTAAAATGACTTTTCCTCCTGATCCATGGGAACAGGTTTAAGTTTTGGATTTGAGGTAACAAAAAGTATTGAAAGTTTTGTATTAAATTTAATTTTATATTATTTTTCTTGTCAATTTTTAAAAGTTATCCTGCCCAATTTGTATTTAACAAATTGACAACAATTATAAAAACGAAATTCACAAAACGCCAGTTTGTAGTTGACATATTACTTTTATTCATTTGAGGAAAACTACATGGACATATTATTACACAATCATTGTAGGTCACACGATTCATGTAAATTTATCAAGATTTAATTATATGATTGTAGTCAATGGAGATTCGCTGCTCAATTTAATTAATTCATTTAATAAATCTGTTGTATATTGGGGATTAAACAGTTTTATTTATAATGGTTTTACATTAAACATATTCTTTAAAGCTGATTTATAGTTGATATTAAAGTTTTGAACCAGTTTTCACAGCGTTGGAAAATATATTTAATAACACCGGCGCATTCGCCATTTTTAAAAAGAACGACTTAGAGGCGGTCTTTTGTGAATTAATTTAAGTGGCCAATTATTGCATTATTAAAAGAAATGTTTTAGTTTTGAAACGCTAATAAAGTAGGTAACAATTAATATACGGTGTTGTTTTTGTTTTGTTTTTCTGTTTTTCGCATCAACCACGGAGGGTTATTAGCGATGACACTGGTCAAAAATAGTCACAAATTCACAATAATCACGTTCAGTAGTTTTAGTCACGCACGAATTAGGTTTAGATTTTGTTTGTGAGGTCACAGTTGTTGACAAATTGAAAGAGATTCCGAACATTACACTTTTCACCAAGAACATCTTGTAGATTGTTGGCTAGATTTGCAGCCAGTCTTTCGTCTGCATACCGGGGACAGTCCAATAGTATATGTTGCACACAAACCGCACATGGGAGCCTCCTCGCCTTTTAACAGGTACTCATGGGTTATTTTTGTATGCCCTATGCGGAGTCTTGTTAATACAACCTGGGACCTTCTGGTAAGGGCTGTCTGCCAGGGTTTAATACTTTTTTTAACTTGATTAAGTTTAGTCTCTTGGTTATTCCAGTCCCGTTTCCAACAGTCGAAAATTTCGTTTTTAAGGCGTTGTTTTAAGTCGTATGAGCTTCTTCTTACTTCTATTATGGAGAGCTCCGAATTAGTAGCTTCTACAGCAGCCTTATCTACAGCTTCGTTGCCTATGTGTGATGGGATCCAAATAAATTTCACTAGTTGTTGTTTTTGTTGCAATTCATAGAGCTCTACCTTAATTTCCTGTAGGATGCTTTGTTTCGGGTATATTTGTTTAATGCCTTAGATAGAGCTTAATGAGTCAGTAAAAACTAAGCATCTCTGTATATTTTTCACTCTGATATACTCCAAGGCTTTCCATATAGCGTAAAGTTCTGCACTATAAATACTACTTGTGTAAGGACGGATATATTGTTTACAGAAATTTGTATGTAGAAATGCTGAACCGACTCCCTCATTGGATTTTGATGCATCTGTATATATGTGCTCAAAATTTATACTGGCTTCTATAATATACTTTAAGTTGGATTTGATTATTTAGTGTGGTGTGACAGATTTATCAAATGATTTGAGTCTGGTGTTACATTGAGGGATTTGAATTATCCATGGAGGTGGTCCTGGTTTTGGTGGAGTAAACATTGGTGTAAAGTTTAATGCACTCTTTCTGAGAATGTGGGGTTTAAAGATTTTTTCGTTTGAAATGTTTTATGAAAACGTAAAGAGAAAACAGCATTATAAAATGGGTGTTGTTGATTTAAGGCTACTGCATATGATAGGTGGAGGTACATTCCTCTTTGGATAATTGGGAGCTCTCCTGATTCGCATAACATACTTTTTGTTGGGCTTGTATGAAAGGCTCCGAGTGCCAATTTAATGGCTTTATTTTGTACTGGGTTTAGTAACTTTAGGATAGAGTTCTTAGCTGAGGAATATGCTATTGACCCGTAATCTAGTTTTGTTCTGTATATTTTAAGCAAAGATATTGATTAGGAATTGCTTGGAAAAATGTTTCATCTTAAGGTCCAAAAACACGCGAGTGCGGCTTTCTTTTAAGATCTAAGAAAGCTGCACTTCTATTTTAGGCCCTTAAAAATTGGAAATTAGAACACATAAATAGGCAATAAAAACGTACATTTTAGTACGTTTTAGGCCGAAAGTGCCTAAAATAGGTTTCAACCGCCTAAACCGATTTGAAATAAAAACAACACGATTAAACATAACATTTATTCAGGTCCTATCAATAAAAATAAAACACATACAGGTATGTATCTCTTAATATAAAATACATAATAAAAATAATAACACAAACTCTTGCAAACAATTGCCCGTATGAATAAAGAAAAGGAAAACCTTACTTGTAAAATTTAAAGCAAATCTTTTGCTAATATATGATTGTGTGATTCCAACGGTTGTCAAAGTTGGCTTTAGCCATCTATTGTCTTTATAGAAAAACTATTTACCACCTGTAAATTGTGGAGAGTTATTTAATTATGCCATAGAAGGGGACAAATTATATTACTAAAAACTGTTAAAAAGTCTGAAATTACCATATATGAGGAGCATCCCTGCAAAACCGGCTAAATCCATTTTATTCAGTTTTTGTTTTTTTTGATTTCGCATCTTTGGGTTCATTTCTATCGACAACCAAGATAATTCAGTTTAAATCCGACTAAATCCATGTTAAAATGACATTTAAAAGGTAGCTTTTGGAGCAAAACCGGCCAAATCCACGTTTTTATAGCAAACCCAGCTATATCCAATAAATAATAATAGGTGGCTTGGATATGTCGATACTACTACTAAAATTTGTTCTTTTTTTTATGTTTCACTAATTTTATTTTGTTAATATTTTTGAATAATAAAGGTTTTTTTTTACATTTTATTCGTTTTTTATTCGGTTTTCGAGCAAAACCGGCTATATACAAAACAATTTTGAAATTTTGACCTTAATATAAAGTTTTTGAAAACGAAAGTATGTCTTATAAATCAAGTACCACAAAGCCCACAAAACTCAAGTTTGCTTTTTTGTTTATCTGTAAAGGCCAGGAAACCGAGAGTTTTGCCATTTTCCCAACATTTTATTAAAGTGGATATAGCCGGTTTTGCACGGATGCTCCTCAAATAGAGATGAAAACATTACGGAGATTGTGCTAATTTAAAACTACGCATATGGAGTTATGTATGAAGACTCTTAATATTATGAGGGACAAAAAAAAGTGGCTATTTGTGTAACACAAATTGTGTTGCCGTAAAGAAGAATAAGTTTTCTTTAAAACAATTTGTAAAATATTACATTTAAAAAAAAAATTAATTTAGACTTGCCAAGTTTAACTTTTTCGGAATGGCCGTATATTAGAACTGTGATAAATAAAGTAAAGAAAGAAAGCCATCCTACGTTTTATGAGTAACCAAGTATCTGTTTTAAGCTTAAAATCATTTTATTTTGCATGTTCGTTTTGTCTTATGCTCTAATTTTCTAGAGGTAAACCGGACGTTGTTTTCTGATTTTTTTCTTATTAGATCCTTATCAATCTTTATCAATAAGGGAAAATTCTTATCAAAAAGAAATTTCTTTTAGTATTCGTATGCAATTTTTAATTTTTAAAAATCAGTGGTTTACCCCTCGCTAATTTTCTGGGGTCCTCAACAACGTTCAATACTGCACAAAAGCATTGGGAATAACAACTTCCTTCAATGAATATTTTTGAAATTTTTGAATTTTTCCTAAAAAAAAGGCCTGTTTATAAGAACAGTGGGAATAACACTAGGGGCAGTTCCTTGTTACGAATTCCAATTCATACATCAAACCTGTATTATATAAGTGTATTGTTCGAAAGCATAAAGTTACTACTAAACTAAACTATAGTTTAGTTTAGTATACTAAACTTAATTAAAATAATTCATTCTCTCTCGAAATATAAACTTGCCTAAAAACCTACCCAATAAGCCTACTCGTTTAGCGATTTTCTGAGTTCAACTTAATTGAAAGAACACAAACAAATTTTAATAGTACCTACATGTATAATATACATGTATACATTGTATATTATGTATCAAGTTTGATAAACGCCATTATAGTTACGAATTTTAATTAGGCACGAGCGAGCTTGCAAGCAAGTATTTGGTAAAATAAATGTCTAGAAAAGTTAAACAAGTTGAATACTATTACGACAAATAAAATTAGGTGTACAAAATAATTTATTACTTATTAATTTAAATATTTGTTTAGAGCAATACAAAAATAAAGTAACCTAGGTTACAGCTGTAAATCAGTTGTAACGGCTTTTAAAATGGTAGTAAAAATTGTCAAATTTTTTTGTAAAGATGTAGGTACTAACAACCGTTTAAATCCGATAAAAAAGCAGTTTTTACAGCGAAAGTGAAGAAGATGTGTTATGGGTACTCTAACCGAAACTTTAAATGCTATATTGGCAAATGTGACATGATGTACTGCCGGTCAAATCAAAAGGTCAGCACAAACGTGCATATAAACCTTTCAAAGGTTGGCGTAAAGAAACTGTTTAAGAATTTGGTATTTTTGTATTGAGATATTAAAACAATTTTTTCTACGACCACTATGTAAAAGTCACTTTTCATGATGGCATCGTTGCTTAGAAAATGAATATTTTCATTGGCAAGGCAAAACACGAATGTAAAGTGACATTTCTGTGTGAAAAGTGACAGGTCTGTGTGAAAAGTGACAGGTCTGTGTGAAAAGAAATTGACCGCATCGTTTGACATTCAGCTGTCAAAAAAGATTTTAGGTTATTTTGTTTTGTATTTAAAAATAATAAAAAATAAAAGGGTCGCAGAAAAAACATTGTGTTATACTTGTGAGAAAAGCTTTCTTCAAGCTCGTGTTAATGCACACTCGGCCTAACGGCCTCGTGGGCAACTTAAAAACTCGCATGAAAAAGTCGCTTTTCAACACTTGTAAAATAAATAACTATTCACATTTACTATTATTTCATAAGAGTTGAAGTTTATTTTTACGATTTTATGACATTTGATATCTGTCAACTAACTTAAAGCTAACTTCAGCCGGTGACTAAAACGCCATAAAGTGGCAGCTTGTCAATGTGTATTTAAAAGATTAAAATATCAAACATGTACGATAATGGGCGTTTAAAAGGTGGGAGTAGAAAAAAATTAATTTTACTATTTTTTAATTTTTTTTATATTTAATATTATATTTAATCTGTACCTACTTTATATTATATTTTATTTATATATGGATTTTCAATTTGTCCTTCTTAATTACAAATATTATTTATATTTATTGTTGTTTGTAGCTTTTTTTATTTATTTTTTACATGGTGATTTATAAGCAGTGTGCTAAACTCAAATCCTAGGTAGAAAAAGTCAAAATCAATCAAGCTTTTTTTTGTTATCTCTTACGCAGATACAGGGTGAGTTATAAGTATATTTCGAAAGGCAGTGCACTGAAGTGGTCTAGCTCATTCAAATCCAGTAACCTCACTCTATCCAGGCTTGCCAAAATGAAGGACCCAAAGAAATTCCAGGACCGAGCTAAAAATGGCCATTTAATTTGAACAGCACACTTAAACTATTTTGGTAAAATTTAATAAATAAACACCTTACCCTGCGAAAGCACTGTTATAATCCATTCATATTCATCACTTGAATATGTTTTTGCATTTTGTGGCACAGGAGAACGCTTAAGGTAGTTGTCGTGGTACAATATTGTCAAAAAATTTTAGATTATACGCATCGTAAAAGTATACGAGCTTGTAGTTAAATGATTCATAATTTTTTCCCAAGACTGTACCATGGAGACGTTACCTTTACGTAATACTTTCAAATATTTTCATATTTTCAAGTTTTAATCCAGCAACGTCGCTTATGCTCAACCAATAGATATATTGGAGACTGAGTCAGTCTGTTTGAATCTTGTTTTTTGTTTGAATTTACTGCGGAAATAATATCTATACTCGCGTACAGCGTTGCCAAGTTGTTTTATCTGACACTAGTGATGTATACTTTTTACAAATTGTTGAACTTTAAACGGTTTATAAATATCAATTGGACGGTCAAAAATTTTTAATTATTTTTTTTAAACTCAGCAAAAATACATTAAAAGACTGTTAGTTTTTTGAAAGATTCTGACAGTTAGTTTTTTTTTATAACTAAGAAACTGGTACAGAACTACAGAAAGCGTATACAATCCATGTTAATTATCCAATTTTTAATTGAATCTTGGGTTATAGACGGTCAATCGACTTCAAATTTTAAGGATAATTGTATTGTCATGTCCTTAATAAGTATACAAAAATTTAAAATTTTCTGATGGTATGCTTACAGCACGACAACTACCTTAAGTAAGAGTTTTATATAATTTGTTTATTGAAATTTTATAAGCGTTGCCGAAAAGAAGGAACTTTTGATTCAAGTTTTAAAAGTAGGGAAAAATAATGCACAAAATTTGATAATAGACGATGTCGATAAATTGAAATGCCCACACTTTTTCGACTTTGACATTCAGCCTGGCTGATATGTGTATTGGGAACTTTGTAAAAAATTCTTTGTAGCCTTGCAGCCACAAGGTGGATTTAATCCTATTGCAGAACTTTGCCCATTGTGATCTTTGTATTTTTTTGGTTTCCTTGAAGATCTTTGGACCATGAAGCTGTTTTTGATTTAGTGGAAGTTGATGTAATTAGATAGGATTCATGTTTTGCATATACAGAACCGTCCTGTTAAAAACTTCCCTGTCATTGATTTTAATAGTGATATGCAGGTTCTAGGTTAATTATGTGGGCTTCCTATATAGTTATAGAAAGAGTTGTTGCCCAAACCAACATATTGTACAATCAATGGTTCCTATCATGGGCAGATTTTATGTTTTGTACTGCCGAGTTGGCGCCTTAGAAGACCAGTATTGCAAATTAATCTTAATTCAGAAGTAGACGAATTCAAGTTCATCCATGGATTCGGGACCTTAATAGGTCATCTTCCATTGCTTTGCGTAAAGTTTACATCAGCGTGACCCATCGAAAAAAGACAACTCCAGTACAACATTGAACAAATTTCATGAGTTTGTACAAAAAAGCTGATAGCTTATAGTGTAACCTCACATTTCCAAACAAAAAATTAAAATTAATAGCAAAATAAAAATATTAAGCAGAAGTATTTTTTCCAATGAAAATATTGCTTTAAAAATATAAATCATGTGGTCAGAAAAATAATGGACTAGTGTCTATTAAGGACCACCAGAGATTCTCAGATTCATGTAACCACGGTGTAACAAATGTATGTAATTTATTCGAATGAGCGGTTTACACAGATGTGTCTAATTAGTTAAATTTTAACAATCATTTGTTGCCGTGATGTGCAGTGTATTTAAGCTTTAATTTCCCTAGCCATTAATTTACGCGCCTCACTAAACTAGTTGCAGGTTATTGTTCCAATTATTGCAAAAATATCGTGTTAAACTAAATGCTTTAAAACAAAATGTAATTTGATTGAATAGACGTCTTTTGTTACAGAAATAATGTGTCCCGCCTACTGGGATACGATTTACTGTTGGCCTCCTACACCGGCCAACTCGACTATAGTTGTTGGATGCCCATCATATGTCACTGGGTTTATTGAGGTAAGAGATCATAAATTAATCAGCATAACAATACTTCAAACAAACAAAAATGTTGTTCAAAAATATGATTATTTTCACTTTCCTTGACACCTAAAATCATTGATTTTATATTATCCTACATGTCATAGTTTTGTCACTAAATAAAGCTACCGAGTATGATTAAATCAAGTTTAAAAACAAAACACTTTTTTTTATTGGTAAGTATATTTATTGTGCCAAATAATATATACATTTAGTAAAAAGTACACGGAATTTGTATTCAATATTAGTCAATTATTTGGTTTTGTAACCTAACATCAGTTCGTGTTGCGATTTTACAATGAACGAATAGTTTGCCTAAAAGTTTGGGAATTTCGTTACGGAGTCCTTAAACATGTTTAATTGTTTTTCTTTTTCAAACCCCAGAAACGAGTGGTCTAAATTAATTAAAGATAGCCGAGAATCTCTGGTCGTCCCCAACGACTTTTTTAAACAAATATTAGAAATATTTTCCAACACCAAAACAAAACACAAAGTGCTTGAAGTACTTTTCGCCAACGATGTTGGCGAAGTGTTACACTTTTCTTCTGAAGATATATTAGAAATATTCCTCAACACCAAAACAAAACACAAAGTGCTTAAAGTATTTTTCACCAACGATGTTGGCGAAATGTTACTTTTTGGATCTGAAGATGCCAACATCGTTGGCGAAAAGTACATACTTTAAGCACTTTGTGTTTTGTTTTGGTGTTGGGAAATATTTCTAATATGTGTTTAACATATTACCAAAGTTGTTCTTTTTTAAGTAACGACTTTTTTATGAAAGGCATCGTGATTAAAAAATGTCATTTAATCCTTAATAACTTATAAGACTGCGGACCTCATACGAAACAATTTGTTATCATTCTTATAATTATTGATTAAAAATGGAGACCTAACGCCATATCTACCAGTAGTAAGTATCGTTAGGTCTGAGTGGCAGGCTACCACCCGATGATCTAGCCAAAGTTATTTTAATCAAATAATCGATTAATTGAATAATCGATTAATCAATAATCAAATAATCGATTAACTTTGGCTAGATCATCGGGTGGTAGCCTGCCATTTAAATTTAATAATCGATTAATCGATTATTTTGCCCACCCCTAGTATTTGCTGGATACGAATTTTCTGTCCAGTAGTAGGTATGGAATTAGGTATGAGTGGTTGGCTACCACTAGATGAGGGGAAATAATTTAAGCATAAAAATTTTAAAAAAATTGAAGTTTTTAGTTATTCGGCATTTTTAATATTAACATATTTATTTAAATGTATAATATTAATAATAATAATAAAACAACTTTATTTGACGTAAAAAGTATCACACCAAAAGGATCATGGATCATTCTTTCACTTAACCCTTCGTATGGTATAACCTCTTAAATAAACAAATAACCAAAGACACAATTCAAACCAAAAGTGTAGTAACCATAGTGCGTAACTATTACAGATACGGATAAGTTGATAAGTGATAAGAGCCCCCGAACCTGGCTGGTAAACCTGCCAGCGATAAGCATACCTGAAGAAAATCAAGGGAAGCGAAACAGGGACTAGGGACCAGGGGACTTGATAGAAACTGATAAATACATTTATTTATTCGTTAGACCTAAATGCAATTCAGAAAAAAACCAACGTAAATTAGTCAACTTTAGAAACGCCAAGAACCTAAACCAAAGCTTTACTTAAGCATGTTCAATCTTGAACAAATAAATTCTTTTCGCCTACAAAGCTTTTTTAAAAAGGCCATAAATTAAGCACGCGACCAAAGTGGCCACATCCATAAAGAACGTAGAAATCCAAACGCACAGTGAGGTACCTACCTAACTAAATTGTTTGTATCTGTTCCTTATTTTCAGCAAATAAATAACGACTGGCAAATATGAATGAATCTTCTTTGAAGTCAACACTTGGAATGAGAACTTTAATTTCCATGAAAGTGTCACCCACAAACAACAAGGGCAATATTTTGACCTTTTGAAAAGTATGACATATGATATAATAATGTTCGCATAGTGGGATAACATAATTAGAATATATCTGTTCTATATCTCTTTTTAGGTTAGCAAAAAACAACTTGTTAAAAGCCTGAATCTTCTTTGAAGTAAGTAGGGAGAGTAGTTGAATTTTCCTTGAAGCCAGGTACTTATTTTAACCAACCAGACTAGAATGGAGGAAACTGTACACACGACAGAACACACAGTAGCAGTCATATATACCTCCCATTGGTAATTTCCTAGTGGCATTATTAGCCACAGCTGTATTACTAATAGTTGACAGTCTAAACTAGACAAGACTAAATAACAACCTCCCAGCGTCATGCTCAAAGGCAAAACAATCATCAAACGGCACACAGGGTGACACAACTTAAAAATATTGGGCGAACGCCAAACGTAGACAACGGAACCACATAATACAAGCCACCATAAGACTCTCAAAAGGTCGGCTCGCGTTCCATGACACTCTTGCACAGACGATTCGCTTCTCAAAAATTGTCTGCCACCGTTGGGGACAAATCAGTACCAAAAAAAACTTAATGTGGAAAATGACCGAATTGAATCAACTTTCGGAATCCGACTTGGACAGAGACATGAACCCAAACGAACTACAAGACTAGCAAAGTTAGGCTCCAATAGCGTTTTAACCAACCAAGCCATTCATGAACCCCAATTGAATGTGGGTATTACCAAATCCCTGGTCGAGGGCGACTCCGGATCGTACTTAGGTTTGGGTCGATTTAACGTCCCCTGAAAACCAAAAGATTTTCCCTCTTTGTCCCAATCTCCACTAACCTAAACAAGCATTTAAAACAATTCAGAACTTTGCAAATAAACTTTCTTAATCTCAACAAAGCTCCAAGCTGCATGGTTGCGCCAACACTGCAAACGAAAAAATATTGACTGTATTCAAAGCACTTTACAGTTAATTGAAGATTTAAAGCCTTGTGGGAAGTGAATACTTTATTCAAAGTTGTGATGGTATTGAGCATGTGAATGCTTCTACACTGAGAGAAAAAATGTTGTAGAATCATTCAAAACGATAATAATTCAAAGGGAATCAAATATGTTTTGGCGTCATTGGTGTTTTCCATTAAATTAATAGGTGCATAACAATTGTATAATACATATCTTTTTGAAACAACTTTGAGAAAGTCAATGAAATAAATGGATTTCTTTTTGTATATATATTTTAAAGAGGGTACACTTTAAAAGTGTTTCAAAAAATTGTAAAACTGTTGGTAAATGAATATAAAACTACAAATTTTTCTATTTGAATCAAATTTACCCGATTATTTAAATTAATATAATTTCATATTCTTTTCATAACTTGATATTTCTCTGAGTGTAGCAAGCATTCGTGTGAAAAAACAAAATATTTATATGCAGGTACGGGGTATAGATCCCAGTACCTCTCGCATACAAGCGAAGCGCCTTTTTAACTAAGCTTTAAGGTTATCTGATTAAAATGAAGGCTCGCTTAAATAGTTGAAATTGATTGACAAAAATTAATTACAATACGTATTAATTAAAGGTACTTAATTGCAGCTAATATTTTATAGGCAACGTTTAAAATTGGCAAAAAAGTGAGGTAAACCATTTGAAAGATGCCATATTTTATTTATTTATTATTAAAAATTATTTAACTATCTACTTATTGGAGTAGATAAGCCTTAGTGGCGGCTGGTGGATTTTGGGACACCCATATCTCAGTTATTAGACATGGGACCCACATCAAATTTATGTGCCTTTATAATGACATTAAATAGACAAGTTCTGCGCAAGCAGAATTTAAATTGAAGTTTGCGAAAAAAAGTTAGTTTTTAAGTGTGCCCCCCCAGCCTCCTGCCCCTCCATTAAGTTAATTTAAATTAAAGAGGTACAATTTTTAATTAACTGAAGTTTATCGACAAATTTCAAATTTAATTAAAAAAAGTCAAGTACATATTACACTGTTCAAAATCAAGCCTTTTGAAATACCTAATCAGAATTAGTTAAGGAAAAATAAGGTAATATGCTTAAACGAGTAAAGCAATTTACCTTCTCGTTTTTTAGGCAAAAACGAATGCCTTAGTTCTATGGTGTATTCACTAACTTCTAGATAAATATTCACACTTACTTAATAAACTTCTCAAATTTAAAAAGATAGGCAGATTACCTAAATATTTAGTCAAAATCTCAATTACTTTTAGGTACGACAATTTTGCTTTTAATTTAGGTAATTCTTCTAAATTATTATGGCAAATTACACTGTGCGACAAATTTTGACCTTACAATTTGAACTGGGATGAAATGTGGAAAAATCGAATCTATGCAACCCCCAAAACTAATCTTTAAAGGGGTTTTGCTAGTTTAGCTCGAATAATGGAGATATACAGGGTGTTTCTTTTAACTTGAGACAGCTCAATATCTCGAGAAATACGCATTTCACGAAAAAATGTCTTAAATAAAAGGTTAATGTGACTAAAGGGGACATTATTTGGTGCTACCGCTAGCCCCCCCCTACCCCTCCTTAAGGGTGAAACGGGGGGTAACTTTGGAAAGTCAAATGGAATGACCCGATTTTTTTCACATAGTTTGGTAGTACATAAAAAAATAAATAACTTTTATTTAAAACTTTTTTCAATTTATCAACAGATGGCGCTGTAATTCAAAATTTGAGCTGTCTCAAGTTAAAAGAAACACCCTGTATATCTCCATTATTCGAGCTAAACTGGTAAAACCCCTTAAAGGATTTGTTTTGGGGGTTGCCTAGATTCGATTTTTTCAGATTTGATCCCAGTTCATTTTTTGTGTTGCACAGTGTTATTGAACTAATTTAGGTAAATTCCTTTAAATATTAGTGACTTACTTGCAATCGGCTACGATCGCTAATACCGACGTTTTACAATAAATATTTTCGCCTATATTGTCCACCAGAATGCCAAAATCAACGAAAGCTTAAAGACCGCGTTGTGTGCTATTGATATAACAACATAGGTAACAATTATTGTGCTATAAGTGAACATTTTGTATACAATAGTGCTATAGTGCTCTAGTTAAGTAATCCAAAGTAAATGGAATTTCCCATTGACCCCAATTTATTTTTAAATAATCCCAACCCTGCAGTGTTGGGATTATTTAAAGGGTTCCGGTACTACATGTAGTACCGGAACCGCCGTTGTTAATTCGCCTAGGACATAAAGATGAAGGAGTCCTAACTTGGAAGAAAATTCCTATGCTAGGATTTTCACTAAAAATATATATAATTTGCCTGAAAACTTAGCTAAAATCTACCTAAAAATTTAAGCAAATTGCCTTAGAAACAGGAAATTTATTCTTTTATTCACAGGCAATATCCCTTATGATCTAAGGTGTATCATCTTTGAAACCTAAGTAATGTTGCTTAATTAATTGTATCATTTTCTTTAAAAATATCAGTTAAAGAATTCACTAATTTAAAAGGGGAATATTCCTCTGAATTCATTTCAGGCAGTTTGCCTTAAAAAATCAATGGTCCTATATAGTCTAATATTTTAGGTAAAAATTAGCTAAAATTTTGAACAGTGTACAGATTTTATACCATTCCTATTTTTTTTAAATTTAGTAAATGAAATAATAAAAATTTAAAATGGTATAAAACCTGTAATTCTTGAAGTGTTTTTTTACATAGCCCAAATACCTCCACGTAAGACAAAATGAATAACATTTATCAGCACGAGATTTGAACGCTTGACTCAGGTGTGAAAATCAGAACATACATCAACTTTGACTGCAAATACTTCAGGGAGGTATTGAGAAACTTGACCCGTTGAGAAGTATTCAGCACCTTGAATTGCCTATATCGAATTCCTATTCATCACAAAATAAACGTTCACGTAAGATAGAATAAATAATATTCATCAGCACGAGATTTAAACGCTTGACTCAGGTATACCTATATAGAAATTAGAACATACATACATTTTGACTAGTGATATTAAGAAACTTAATCCGTTGAGAAGAATTCAGCACCTTAAATTACCTATACCGGGTTCCTATTCATCACAAAATATTCAATTAATAGGAAGGTAAAATTATTCCTAAATATAAGAGCAGCAAAATATTCGGACTCATAAAAGTATAAAAGATCAAATCTTGAATAGAACCATATTCTGGTCTATAAAACTTGAATATGGCCAATATTTTTTCATTTGCATTGAACTCTTCATAGGTAATAATTACCAGTTTCATTTATTTAACAAGGAACCAAACGAAATAAGCGATTTAGAAATAGAACTAGAATTAACGAAGGTATAAAAGACCAACTAACAACTATTATCTTAGTTTGCCGAAAGTGAGGGTTGGTTCCATGTTACATAACAACATTTAAGTATAATAAGCCTTTCTTGCACCGCTATTATTTGCCTTTCTTATTGTAAATATAAACAAACACGTTAACAAAACACATAATAAATTTGTTCTACTTCCACACTTAAATTTGTTTATAATACATTTCCTACCTGTAGGTACAAGGCAATATTCTGTCAATATCAACTATTACCTTGGACATCTGATAGATCTCATATTTATCAATTTTGACCCAGGGTCGTAGCCAGGAAGGGGCGAATCAGGGCACCGCCCTAACAGGCAAAACTTTTGCCCTGGCGGAGAATCTTGAACTAATTTAAATTTAATATATTGTATGCTACAGAAAATGCAGCTGCTTCGAATCGTGTTAGATAAGAAATACTATGTTCAACATAAAAGTTGGGAAAATAAAATTGTAATGAGACATGGCTGAACGAAGGCATACCGGACAATGTTATTAATATACCTAATTACAATATTTTAAGAAACGACCGCGATGGTAAGCACTGAAGGTGTTGCACATCTATGGGTTGAGATAAAAATCAACAAAATTAATAATTTAGTCGGTGTTTCATACAGGGTGCCCACAAATAATTTGAATCAATTTGTTAATTATTTAGACAATATTTTTATTATATTGGGTGATCTCAATGTAGATCATTTTAAAGATACCGCTGTTTCCCAATGTTTTGCATCATATAATTTATCCCAAGTTATATACGAATCCACACGTGATACTAGGACTTCGCAAAAACTTATTGATGTTATTTATATAAATAATACAGATATTGTAAGGAAAAATGGTACTATAAATGCAGTTATGGTTTCAGACCACAAAGTAGTATTTTGTGAATTAAAGCTTTCTTTTCCCAAACCTCCTAAAATTCTTACTTTTGTTTTGCGACATTTAAAGCTGACGTTCAACTAATTAATTAATGAAAAAATGAAGTTATTTAATTGTTACATTTTAAAACTTTTTAACAAGCATGCTCCTTTTACTTCTGCCAGAGTAAGTAAACCTTTTTGCCCCTGGATAACGAATGCTATTAAACAACTAAAAGAACGTGATAAGGCGCATCAACAATTTAAATGTACTAAACATATTAGAGATTTTAATTTCTATAAAAATATACGGAATACAATTGTTGAGGCTATTAAAAGAGAAAAAATGGCATATCTTACCACACAACCCAATAACCCTGATAAATCTAAATTGTGGAAAACTCTTAAACAGTTGAATATTAAACAATATTCCTTTAATACCATTCCTAATAATTTAAGAGATCCAGAAAATATAAACAATTTTTTTCTTTATGTGTTTAGTCCATCCAATAATTGTGTTGCAACAGTTGATAGCTACAACTCTTTAAAATTTTGTGATACTGCATTTTCCTTTAAATTAGCCTCAGTGGATGATATATATAT